TTGATCAATGGGCTTATAATAAATTGAGAGGGATTCATTCAATAAAATGTTTGTAAACTTGGTAAGATACAGCATTTGAGCTAGGGACTGTACCTGACCCCATATAACTGCCTTGAGAATAATTATTTCAGTGGGTTCGGCAACCACGGGACATTCTTATCTCTTCCAGCTCTCTAGGATAGAAGAGCTATTCTCTGTGGTTTGGGTAGCTGCTGAATTTTGGCAGATCCCATTTTCCACACTCCCTACTGTGGAAGGCCCATATTGAGTAGGTAGTGGCAGCCAGATGGCATCTGTCACCCCAATCCCAATTCCCGTTACACAGGGAGTATCCAAGTGGGCCAGCTGGTGAAGAGTACAGACTCCATTTCCTGAACAGATCAGCGTTGTAAAAGAACTGCTCCAGTGGGCTTGACAGCCAAAGGGCTGCTCCCATCTCCCCTAGATTCCTCAGGTGGAAGACCCATTCCAGGTATATTTGGCAGTCAGTGAATATTGGTAGAACCCATCCTTTTTAGGTCTGAGCTACTGAAGATCCATATTGGGTAGTGGCAGTAGTTGGGTGGCAGCACCAGTCCCCTTGCCTCCTCATATATACACATAGACACAGTTCCTGCTTTATAGTGGGGATGCTGGTGGGAAAGCAATAAAGAATAAGTTTCTTATCTCCACCAGCAGCCCACCCCAGCTGGTGCTCCATAGTTTAGTTGTTCTGCCCAGGGAAGAGTCAGAGCAAGCCTTAAAAATTGGCAACACTCTTCCCCTGACAAAGAGCCAGACTTTCATTGGATCAAACTGTGCACAGTGCCCAAGGGTATTGTCAAAAGTAATAGAGTAATCATATAGCAATTAGTGGAGGCTAACATCTAGGTATGACACTAATATAGACTAGAAGAAGTGTAACAGAGAGATCAGAGGAAGAGAAAGTTAAAGAGATTCAGTTTAAAACCAAGGTCATCCATGGTGGCTAGGGAGATTGTATGCATGCCCAAGACTACAGTCTGTGAGGAGCAACACCAGAGGTTGCATGTTTCAGGGGAAATAGTCCTTAACTGAACTTAGTCCAGGTAAATGACTAAACAATAAACAAGCAAACAAGGGAAAACAACAAGTGCCAGCAGAAAGAGAGATTAGTATAAAGAGTTGCTACAAAATTCTGCTGGAGTAAGGAAACGACAGCATATGGCAACTTGAATCCAGAGGAAGAAATAAATAAAATAAGAAATAGTAAAGGAGAAGTAGGAAGAGGATGAGAAAGAAGAGGAGGAGGAGAAAAATGTTAATATAAAAATATGTACTTGCTCTCTATTATGGTTTAGATCTGTGTCCCCACCCAAATCTCATGTCAAATTGTGATCCCCAGTGTTGGAGGTGGGACCTGGTGAAACCTACTTCTATGATCCCCAGTATTGGATCATAGAGGTAGGGTCCACATTAGTGGTTTAGCACTATCTCCTGATGCCGTTCTTATGATAGTGAGTGAGTTCTCATGAGATTTGGCTGTTTAAAAGTGTGTATTATCCTTCCCCTCTCTTTCTTCCTCTTGCTCCAGCCATGTGAAGTAGTCACTCCCCTTATGCTTTCCACCATGTTTGTAAGTTCCTGAGACCTCCCCGAAGCCAGATACCAGCATCATGCCTCCTCTGCAGCCTACAGAACCATAAGCCAATTAAAACCTCTTTTCTTTATATATTACCCAATCTCAGGTATTTCTTTATAGCAGTGTAAGAACAGACTAATTTACTCTCCTTTTTTCTTCCAGCTTTTTAAAATGATAAAACTGTATAAAATAATGAGCATAATAATGTAGGGTTTGGTTTGTAGCATATATGAACATAATATGCAAAATACTATAACATGCAGAAAAGAATGAGCAGGAATGAGACATATAGAAGAAAATTTTCTGTAACTCACTTGAATTGAGTAGTATAAACCTGAAGTCAATTATGGTAAGATGTATACTGAAAGTCCTAGAATAAGCACTAAGAAAATAACTCAAAAAATATCAAATATTAGTTTCCCATTGCTGGCTTTAACAAATTGCCACAAACTTAATTGCTTAAAACAAGACAAATTTGTGATCTTACAGTTTTGGAGGTCATAAATCTGAAGAGGTTTCATTGGGCAAAATCAAGAAGTAAATAGAATTGTGTTCCCCTTGGAGGCTCCAGCAGGAGGATCTGTTTTCTTGCCTTTTCTAGCTTTCAGAGACTACACTCCCCTTTCAAGCCAGCAAATGCATCATTCTAACATCTCACTCACCATATCTTTATTTTATTTTTTTAACTTTCCTGCCTGCCTCTTTCCCTTATGATTAGCCTTGTGATTACATTGGACTGACTCAGATAAGACAGGGTAGTCTCCCCATCTCAAAATTCTTAACTTAATCACACATGCAAAGCCCCTTTTGCCATGTTAGGTAATATATTCACAGGTTCTGGGCATTCAGACATGGGCATCATTTGTGGATCATTATTTTTCCTACCATGGTTAAAATATCATTAAAGGAATTGAAATGTTACTCTAGAAAATATACAGTTAATGCAAAACAAGATAATAAATAATAAAAGAACTAAAATGATAAACATATAGAAAGCAAAAACAAAAATGGCAGACATAAATAAAAACATATCAACAATAACATTAAATTTGAAACAATCCAATCAAACCAAAAAATTTTTCAACAGAATTTTTTAAAATTCAATCATATATTATCCACAGCAAACATATTTTAGATTCAAAAATACAAGTAAATTGAAAGTAGAATGATGAGAAAAGATATGCCATGTGAATAGCAACCACAAGAGAGCAGGAATGACTATACCAATATCAGACAAATTAGAGTTTTGAAAAAATGTTAATGAAAACATGTCATAATAAAAAAGGATCAATCCATCAGGAAGACATAACAATCATAAACATATATACACCTAACAACAGAGCCTCAGATGCATTAAGCAAACCTGAACAGAATGTAAAAATATATGTGTGTTTCAACAAACATAATAGGAGACCTTACTTTCAATAATGGATAGAGCCACTATTCAGAAGATCAGCAAGGAAATATAGAACTTCAACAACTCTTTAAAGCAACTAAACATAGTAGACATTCACCCAAAAGCCGCAAAATTTGTGTTTCTTAAGCACACATGCGACATTCTCCAAGATTAATCGTATGCTAGGCCATAAAGCAAATCTCAATAAATTTAAAAGAATTGCAATTACACCAAGTATGTTATTTGACAATAATAAAGTTATAAATCAGTAACAAGAAAAGTTGGGAAATTCAAAATTATACAGAAATAAAACAACACATGCCTAAATAACTAACAGATCACAGAAAAAAATCAAAGGGGAAATTAGATAAGTTTTGAAATGAATTAAAATGAAACACAATATACAAACTTATGAAATGCAGCAAAAGCAATTCTCAGAGGGAAATTTATGGCTATAAACACCAATACTGTATTACAAAAAGAAGAAAGATTTCAATCAATAATCTAACCTTTCACCTTAAGTAACTTGAAAAAAGAACCAACTAAACCCAAAGCAACAGAAAAAAAAAAAAAAAGGAAATAACAAATAAATCAAAGAGAATAGAAAAGCAATACAGAAAAATCAATGAAACAAAAAGTTAGATCTTTGAAAAGGTCAACAAAATTGAAAAACCTTTACCTAAACTGACTAATGAGAGGGAGAGAGAGAAAGAGAGAAATGCATATTACTAAAGTCAGAAGTGAAAGAAAGATGTCATTTTTGAGCTCATGGAAATAAAAAGGATTAAAAAGAAGTACTATAAACTGTACAACAATAAATTTGATAACTTAGACGAAATAGACAAATTTCTGAAATAACAGAAACTACCAAAACTAACTCAGGATGAAAAAGAAAATCTGAATAGGCCAATAACAAATTAAGAGATTAAATTTGTAATTTAAAACTTTATCACAATGAAAATCTCAGGCCCATAATGTTTCACTGGTGAATTCTTACAAATACATAAAGAGGAATTAAAACAGATACTTCATAAACTCTTCCAAAAAATAGAAAAGGTACAATTTTCAACTCATCATATGAGGACAGAATTACCAAAACCAAAGACATTAAAACCACAAACTGGCAACCATTACGAAAATAAAAGCAAAACTTTTCAGCAAAGTACTAGCAAATTAAATTTAGAAACATATAGAAAGGATGATCCACCATAATCAAGAGGGATTTATCCCAAGAATATAAGTTTGATTCAAAATCAAAACATCAATCTGCGTAATACAACATATCAATAGAATAAAACACAAAAACAATATAATCTTCTCCATAAATGCAGGAAAATCCTTGTTAAAACCCAACATACCTTCATTTAAAAAGAAAACCATTTAAAAAAACAGAAATAGAGGAAACTTCCTTACCCTGGTAAAGAACATCTACAAAATACCCACAGCTAGCAGCATGTTTAATGGTGAAAGACAAAGCTTTCTCCTTGTAATCAAGAGCAAGACACATCTGTTCACTCTCTTGTCATTTCTATCTAACATTATACTATAAGTCATACTCAGGGAAATTAGGTAAGAATAATACATAAAATTAGAAAGGAAGAAGTGAAATTATTTCTTTTGTAGATGACATGATCTTCTACATAAAAAATTAAAAGAAGTCCACAAAACATTATGTTAGCAGTTTAAAATCCATCCAGGCCTGCAGCAACTCGATTCTTGCCATCTCAGAAGAAGGAATTAGGCTGAGGGGCATAAGGCGGGGTGAGAGGCCAAGATGAGTTTTAGAGCAGGAGTGAAAGTGTATTAAAAAGGTTTAGAACAGGAACAAAAAGAAGTAAAGTACACTTGGAAAGGGGCCAAGTGAGTAACTCAAGAGAGCCAAGCGTGCTGGTTGGCCCTTGACTTAAGGTTTTTATACACTGCATTTCTTCTCCTTTGATTTTTCCTTAGGCAGTCTGTCTACACGAATAGTGGCTTGCCAGAACTAGGGAGGGGCCACATGCGCAGGTGTCTACTGAAGTTGTGCACGTGTTCATTTGAGGCATTTTTCCCTTACCTGTCAAGTGTTTCCAGAGGAAGGTCATATACCAGTTAAACGCTGCCATTTTACTTCCCAGTGTGCATGCTTGAGCCTGCTTGCCCAACTTCTGAAATCTTATCAGGAAATAGTCAATCACCAGCTTCAGGTGTTTTCTATGTATTGGAAGCGTGCGTCCCCTGGTGCCAGCTGCAAACAATTTTTTTTAGCAAGTCAGTTTAACAACCACCTAATGATCACCTGATGGCCACCTGACATTCCTGGTTGGTGGGGGTGGGCTTCTCCTGCCCTGCTCATGTCTGCCTAGCTACCTTCTCCAACAATTATAACTCATAAATTGGTTGAGCAAGCTTACAGAATATGCAATCAATGTACAAACACAACCATATTTCCATATACTAGCAACAATCTAGTATATGGATTACATTTACAATAGCTTCAAAAAGAATTATAAATCAATTACATTTACAATAGCTTCCAAAAGAATACAATATTTAGAAATACATTTAATAAAAGAAGAATAAAGTTTGTACACTGAAAAGTACAAAATATCATAGAAAGAATTTGAAGACCTAAATAAATGGGAAAACATTCAATGTTCATAGATTGGAAGGCAACATTAAGATGACAATACTCCCCCAAATAGTTAAATGCAATCCCAGTCAAAATCTCAGCCACTATTTTTTTTTTTTGTAAAAATTGACAAGCTGATCCTAATATTCACGTCTAATTGCAAGAGGGACCCAGAATAACAAAAACAATCTTGAAAATGAAGAAATTTAAGAACTCACACATCCTGATTGCAACATCTACTACAAAGCTATTGGAATCAAGATAATGTGGCACTGACTTGAGGACAGACATATAGATCAAAGAAATGAAATTGGGAGTCCAGAAATTAACGCTTACATTTATATTCAACTGATTTTCTAGAAAGATGCCAAGATGATTCAAATAGGCATGGAAGATATTTTTGGAGCAACGAAATTATTCTAAAATTCTGGGGATGACTGCACAGCTCTCTGAGGAATCATTCAATTGTACACTTAAAAAGGGTGAATATTTCAGTATGCAAATTGTACCTCAATAAAGGTGTTCAGGAATCAATAGATTAACTTCAAATATATTCTTTGTAGATAGATGAGGCATAAAGTCACTCAAGAATTTTTAAGGGTAGAGAAAAAGGGGATAGTTAGGCACTTCAGACTTTCAGTGGTTAAAATTCTTTACTCAAATGTGGTCTCATTTCACAGATTGAGAAAATGAGGAAAATTGGGAGAGTTTCTTGTGCTCTGACCAGTTCTGATGAGCTTTTGGTCGGTGCCAGCTTTGTCTGAGACAGAAAGCCAAGAAAGCAAAAATCACTCAAGTCACTGTGGGAAGCAAAAGGTAAAGATTAGAAACAGGCATGTTGGGTTTGTTTCGGATCAGCACACATTTGGATGCTTTTAATACTGAACATTTATTAAATGCAAGCAGCTCATTGAGCCAGAGAGAATTTGGAGCTATTTGTGGCCTCCAGCTCCTTGGTCTGAAAAATTGGAGTGAATATCAGTTCATTCTAGTCCAGGCTTAAGACCTTCTCTGAATTTATAAAATTGGAAATATATATTCGAATCATTTGACACAATTATTCATCCATAACATGGATGTAAGTGTTTTTAGTATCTTTTCCCTTGAAGTTGAGTAGTGTAAAAGTAAAGCCCTGCATGTTCTAGAAAGATTCCCCTTTTTAATGAATCAAGTACATTTTGTATTTGTTTTTGATTACCTTATCTCTAGTCCCACTAGCTCTGAGCTTTGTATAATAGTAGCAGTATCATGTTACCAGAACCTGAAATCACACTTCCCCGGGATGTTCTGATGGCAGAGAGTGCAAAGAAATGACTTCTCTGGAATCATTCCAGGACAGCATGCTGTCAGGGCAATTTGAGGATAATATGCACAGTCCAGTGAAGGCTGCATAATTGCCCATGTGCTATTTTTAACTCATTCTCTTGAGTTACACCATTGGCACAGATAAGCCATTACAATGTACTCAGATATCTATTAAAAGTGATTAAATAAGTGGCATGGACTTAGTGGCATATAATCATATCTTAAAGTTTGACAGTTGAGAGCTACTTATAGCATTTTTGCCTATAGTGCTATTTATTTATTCTCATATCACCCCCATTATTTGGAGAGGTAACGAAAGAAGGAGTTGGGAGGCAAATCAAGTCACTTGAATCATTGCTAGGTGCTGAGGTCAACACAAGGCAAGTGACTAACAAGGGTTCTAAAAATTCACTCTGATAAAAATGAAAGCACCTTTATTTCCACTCTAAACAAGTCACTGAGATAAGCTTCTCTGACACCTACAAAAGGCATGGTAATATTTATTTTCTTCAGAGATTTTTCTCCTATGGCTATTGAAACAGAGCTCCACTTAAAAATCAATATACAGTTCACTATCTGAGGGATAAATTGTCAATGGCACAAAACCGCAAATGAGCCAGATTGTTAATATGCTGCACTCCTGTGCTCCCAGCCTCTCTAATGTCCTCGTTCCGAGTTTCCTTCATCCCTAAGACCTCTTGTCCTACTTATTCTTCTCCCTTGAAGTTGGAGGAGTTTCAGACATGAGCCAAGTGGACAAGCCCATTTTTTTCAACATACATGCATCTCCAGTTTCCCTGAAATACCTCCTAGGTCTGGGTAGCTATGAAGGAAAGAGGTAGTGAAATGTCCCAACGATGATCGAAGGAAAAGGTTAAAAGTGTCATTGAGAGTCCCAGAGATCTCTGTCATGACCTACAGTCTGCTTTATAATTCCGTAATGGGTCTTCAAATTGAGAATGAACTTGAGTGATCAATTCCAGCATAACAACCTTATTCAAGCTTCTCTTCACTCAGCTTTTAACCAGATTATGTGAGACTCTAAAGAACAATTTTTAAACTGCATAGAAGATATTAAGCCATCTAAAGTTGTGAGAACTAGCATATCCCTGCAATGTTGTATTTCTGACTAAAATAAGCCTCCTTAAAATATGTATTATTCTAGCAAAGGCTAATATCAACCCCTGGCACTGCTCAAGGGCTAATTGATCCTGAGTCCAGCTCCAGCCTCACAGCATGGAGTTCCCTATGCACTCTCTCGGCGATTCTTTGATGTAAAAGCATGAAGTTACTAAAAGAAAGCCAGGACATCTTAGTGCTGTCCTGACTGGCTATAGATCTGCATTGAGGACCTAGCATGGTTAGCTTAGTCCCCAGTGATATAAGTCAAGTATGTCTAAATACTCTGACCTGGAGTAAAAGAAAATAAACCCACATATTTAGATTCTTAAGAAAGAAATCCCTACAATGTTTGCAAAAACAGTAAATGGAAGAGTATAAGATCTGAAGCCACCCCTGGAGTCAGTCCTTACTCTCTGATTTGTAAACTGTGCGACCTTAGGCAATCGTGTAACATTTCAGCACAACAGTCTGCCATGATATAAAGTTGTGCTAATAACAATACTCTCCTTCATAGAGTTATGTGATGATTAAATCAGGCAATGTATGTAAAGTACTTATGCCAGAGTCTGGCACATAATAATTTCTTAATAAATATTTGCATATATTTGTGTGAGCATGAGTATTGTATCATTTATAATACTTGGTGATGCTTTAAAGTATGAGATTCAAGAGTCTAAAGATCAACAGCTCCTCAGAGGAGTCTTTTGTCCTCCATCTCAAATAAAGTCCTGTCTGCACCATGGTAGATAAATCCAATAGGGTAGTCATGCAATCTGGACTATGATCGGCCCCTATCTGAAAACAGCTTCTATTCTACAGCTCTCATTAGCAGATTCTTACAGCCTTCCTGGGAGATGTCTTAAAATGTGGTTGCAGTTCACCCAGAATATTTCAAATTGACTGAAATTGCATTGAAAGTGGTGCTTCTAGGCCGGGCACAATGGCTCATGCCTATAATTCCAGCACTTTGGGAGGCCAAGGTGGGTGGATCACCTGAGGTCAGAAGTTCAACAGCAGCCTGGCCAACGTGGTAAAACCCCGTCTCTACCAAAAATATAAAAGTTAGCTGGGCATGGTGGCAGGCACCTGTAATCCCAGATACTCAGGAGGCTGAGGGAGGAGAATCACTTGAACCCAGGAGGCAGAGATTACAGAGAGCTAAGATTGTGCCATTGCACTCCAGTGTGGGCAACAGAGCAAGACTGTCTCAAAATAAACAAAACAAAAAAAAGAAAGTGGTACTTCTATAAACATGTGAAACTTGCATTTTATATGAATATTTGCATACATGTATACATATTTGCACAATAAAATTTAATCTCTATGAAGAAGAGAATGTTTTGCCTGTCTTGTTCAACATTATATAACTTTGCACCCAGAAAGAAAAGTGTCTAGTATACAATGGACATTCAATAAATATTTATTAATTAAATGAAAACTCATTTATAGATGTTTTGTTCAACTAATATTTTGATACCTACTAAGTACCAAGTCCTTCTATATTTCTGGTAAACAAGACTGATACAAGCCCTGCATTAATGAAAATTATAGTTTAGAGGAAGAAAAGCATTAAGTAGATAATCATATGGAGAATTTCAAAATTATAATATTTTTAGTAAAAGTAAGAAATATATGGCTCCATTAGAATAAAAAGTCTTCCATCTAGCAGGCAGTCAAATATTTATTCACTGCCTATGACATGCCAGGCAGTGCTCTAGGCCCAGGAAACAGCAGTAAAGTAGACAAAGAGTGTCCCTGTGCTCAATGAGTTCACCTTTCTTTGGGGATAGAAAAAAGAGTATGCATTCTCCTCCCCAAAACATATAAAATAAAGTCTTGATGAGTACATTGAAGAAGATACAACAAAGCGGTTGTTCTCAAATTGAACTTGTGTCATCATCACCTGAAGCACTGATTAAAGCAGGAGATGGTTTTAATTCAGAGTTCTTGATTCAATAGGTCTAGGGTGGGGCCTGAGTATTTTCATTTTTAGCAAGTTCCCTAGTACTCCTAATAATGCTGGTTTAGGGCTACAAAAGTCACAGCAATAATGATCAAAGCAGGATATTTATCATATGTACCACCTCATGCATTTATCATTTCTTTGTGGCAAGAACATCAATAAAAATTGTATAAAAGAAATCACATAATATCAAAATAATTTAATGACTCAGCTATAATCTTGACTA